TAATACATGGGCATTTGTATAAGACCATGTGTACATCAAGGATAACGGACTGGGGGTGGGGGTTACCCGGATTAGTATGTAGTGAAGATAAGTGGATTTATTTGGTGTTTCGTGTAGTATATATATATATATATATATATATATATATATATATATATATATATATATATATATATATATATAAACTTTTTTCTAAACTTCTTCAGGATTTTGACGTTTTCCTGGATTTCAAATATCAAAATCTTAAAAAAAGCTTGGAAAAGGCAGATATTTTTGACAAAGTGGCGTGAAGTTGATGCATTTAGAGTTTTATACACCCTGACTTTTCATAGTTAAACAGTTTCAACTTTTTAATTAGAATGCTACTAAAATTGTTGGTCTTGTAATCAAATAGTCACACGTGAAATGGCTGAAAAATAAGATTCTATTATCAAGCGTTTCATAGGTGTATCGGATGGGGAGGGGGGTTGTCTGTGTGTGTCAAAAAATTAATACAGTATAATAAGAATGAGAGCTCCAAAAATGTCAAAAAATGATAAAAAATATAAGTATGAATGTGTTGATATTATATATTAAAAGCACATATTTTTTGTACAGTTAGAAAAGAAACTTGCAAATTACAGGTCGTAAATAATTGTGTAATAGAGCAGTCACAAGAAAGGCGTGAATTTGAGCACATTGTTTTTCAATGTTTGTTTTATTCAAAAGGGTTTTAAATTTAAATAGGTTCCACAAGTGGAAAGCTGATGCATCATCGCAATTATGTTTAAATAATAATGTAATCATTGATATTTAAACCTGTTAAATTATATTTGCAGAGGTAATGCTACTTTAATACACATGTTCTGTGTTCCCATGTGTTTCGTGCGTAATTTCCGGAAGTCAGGCACTGAGAAGTAGTCGCTAGTTTCGACCTCCAAAATGGGTTCTTCCAAATGAAGTCCAATGCCTTATTTTTCATTTCCTTCTGAAAATCAATAGGGTAGAAATATTTTGTTACGATACATTCTTAATAAGCCTTAGATCATCAGTGAAACAATGACAGGTTTATCAGATTTTCTTGCACAAGATCAGGATCACCAATACACAGTTTTGTGTATCGATTAGCGCTGCCCAGCGCCCTTATAACACTATCCACAGGGTGTTTATTTGCTTTCTGAGAAAAGTCAATTAAATTTATTTTGAAACTATTGGATTAGCGTATTGTCAGCAAGAAACGCAGTTTTAATGCAACGGAGTCTGATCAGTCAGCTGCTGAAGCCGTTACCGTGTCACCGGAGTTTTGGCGGGAACCGTGAACCTCCTTCGACATGGACGTACAGGGGGCATTACTGAGCGATCTTATGACGAATCTCAGGAACAGTTGCTCACTTAGTTCGTGGGTGAGTGTAGTCAAAATTTTAAGTTTTTCGAGTTGTGTAGTGTTTAATCTGAGTTAGTCACTGGACATTTGCATCATTTTTACTTTCCATTTCGGAATCCTGAGGTAGTATTAAATCAGTATCGAGCGCTTTTTATGACACTTCAGGGGATTTTGGACTAAGGCGACCTTTGTTGAATATTTCATCAGTGGCCGCTGGAGCGAATAATAGCTTCAAAGACTGTTCCACTGCATCAGAAAGCTTGCTTTACTTCAAAGTTTTTAGCTGAAAATCTTGGAATGATGGCTTCCGAATTTTTTGTCAAAAAAGCAAGAATTCGGTACTTGTGGGAGTCATATCCTTAATTAGGAAATTGTTAATATTGGTAACGACTTGCAGTGTGTCTGTTCCTCACTGTTGTCAAATTTCTATCATCAGTACAAATATCCACAGTGGACTAGAGCAGGAGAGTTGATTTGCTGCAGTGATTGCTTGATGTCTTTTTGTTCGACATTGATTTGTGAGGGGCCTTCAAAGCGGCAGCATCATATTTCCTGTCGTCAGAGGTGATCCGTGTTTTTATACTCAGGAGTCCATTTAGTCCTGTGTTACATATATGGTTCCGTAACAAAGTAGTTTTCTAAGCTAACCTTAATGTCTGTCAAATAACTTCAATTCAATTTATTTCTAGCCAATTATTTAGAAACTTTAATTAAATAGTTTAATCATAATATAGAAATATGCAGGATTTTCTCTCTCTAACCTCGTCTCGATTTTTGGCATTACTGGCTAGAGAGCAGTCTCTAAATAATTCTCCAAAAATATTACACTTCTTACTTATGTATTCCCTTTTTTAATCAAATAAAACCTATATATGTTGACTAAATCAAGAGACCATGGGCGCTCCCCATCTAAATCAGTAATATAAAAATAAAGTACTTCTTCAAAACTGTATATAAAAGCTACTCCATTTTGGTCTTGACCGGAAGTAGTCAGATTTTGACTTGCACACGGTAAATGTATTTAATTGATCATTTAAGAATGTAATCGGTTTATGAAAATATGCACATCTTAGTTTGAAACAAGCGAAGTTTGGATCTGATGACACTTCCGGTCGCGATTGGGGGGGGGGGGATTACAGTACAGGCCTTGTTGATTGTATAGTATAGCGGTACATGTATAATCTTTTACCGAGTAAGATGGAAGTATACTAGATCTAGAGACATAAATCTGTAAATAATTGCATTTTTTATTTCACAGATTTGTTGCCATGATTGCTAAAATAAGAAAAAGAAATCTGTGAAATTCTTTCAAAATGCTACTCTCTCACAGTTTTAGTCCGATCTCAAGTTCAGGTTTAATTTTTATCAAAAGTATACTTATTGATTGGAAAATACCGGTAGACTACAATAATGTCATTAACAATTTTCAAGTGTCAATGATGCCTAATTTTAGTCATGTACCAGAAAATTGTTAATGAAAGACACTTGGAACACTTGGATACGTCATTCTTGAAAGTTTTTTTTTTTTTATTGCGATGAAAAGTCTTGTTATGGTTACTAGATATAGATTAATTTATTAAAAATGCTTCTCCTACAGTTTTTGATCCGATTTAGTAGAACTTGGTACACAAATACACTACACATGAAGATACGGAATTTTGCGTGCCGTGATGACCACTGTGACCTTGTCTAGTAAAAATAATCTATTAAATTCGTTCAAAATATCCCTTTTTAAATATTTCTAGTTTGACGATTTTCAAGACTTGGTACAAGTTCAGAAAGCGACACAAGCATTTTTCTGTAAAACTCAACAAAGAAATGTTACGAATCCAAGTATACTATCTTCTGCTACTACAAGTCTAACCCAATCGAGCTACAGTCACCAGAGATTTCTGGTCTGTTTAACTGTTTTCAACCTCTCACCTATAACGTTTAGTGTATTTATTACAGTAGTTATTTATTTATTATGTATTTATTACTGTAATTTGAATGTCATGGACGTATAATTTATATACATTTGTTTGGCATTACTGTTACAAAGTTTCTGACTGGACTTTGTACACCTGTGAGATTTTTCGCACATTTATTTTGATAGGGCTTGTTGACGGAATATTGTCACTACAAACTGATAACATTCTCTCCTCAGAGGACAACAGATAACATGTTCCTCTACCTCCAAAAGACTGTCATAAACAAGGATGGAATTTTTTTACCAAGTCCATACAAAATCTTACCGTTAGATACAAAGCAGATATTGATTGGGAAGACAAGTTCATTAGCAAACTTTAAAACAATTGTTATACTCATTGTTCATTTAATTAGTGCAAGATTGTGTGACATGCCGTAACAAAAAAAAGTGTTGAGTGGATAATGAACGATTTCACCACAATAAAGATCTAGAAAGCTTGTCTGAAGGCAAGATTAAAATGCCTCAAGGGTAGACGTGATAATCGTAATAACTCAAAAACGTTTTTACTTTACATGAAGGTAGATTTACAAATTTCTCAAAAGACCAAACATATATATTAGAACTTCGAAGTGTGGCTTGTAATTTTAGGCCAGTGACTTGTTGAAACGGTCAGGTGTAGTAAATTTAAACTGGAGATTTGAATGGGACCACGTGACTGTTTTTACCTGACATTACCTAGCTTATGGTTAAGTGTAAACAAGACGGATTATAGGGACCGTAACACGAACCTCCAAAACAATTGCCCCCAAAATGAAGAAAATGGATATTCACAATCTGGACACCCTGGTAAGTCTTTCTTGTCGTCATAACCATGGTTAAGATAAAACAGGACAATTTTTGTCGGACGTACACCGGAAGGTCAAAGTATGTCAGAACATCTATTGTCGTGTCTGTCAATGAGACGGGGTCTGTGTACTTTATATAAGGACTAACAGAACAAAAGGTTCATTTCATTATCATAAACTGTAAAAGACTTGTTTACCGAGTTGTAAAAGTATCCACGGTGTTTTATTGTACTTCCGGTGATAGGGTCTCTGTTGACTTTGTTTTTTATACCTGGTCTGCCCTGGGGGTTCGTCATATTAAGATGCTCTGGTGTGTAAAATCTGCAGACAGTCACAAGTAAAAACAGACCGCAGGCAGTCAAATAAAACAGCTGATCGGCTTCGGTCTAAGCATTATCACTGATTACTGAAATACATGTACATGTAAAAATGTACCCTTTTTAATTTGTCCGAGAAAGTGTGTCGGGGGGGGGGGGGATATAAGAGATCTATGATCTACAGCAAAACTTCAGTGTGTATAGCATGGTATAGATACGTTAGAAAGTAAAACGTTATAAAGAAATAAAAAAAAAAAAAGAAGAAAAGGAATTGAAGTGTCTACATGAAATAGTGTGTATATATAGTACAAGATCTTTCATCCGTGTCCATACCCATGTGTAATCAAAGTTAGTATATACAGGTTCATGACTATACAGACAAAAGCCATGTTATAGTTAAGAAGGGTACTAGATAGTATAAAATGTTTACACATAACCTGTGGCTTCTAGAAAGACTTTCAGGCAGTAGAAGTGTTCATCATTTCAGATGTGTTCACACGTCTCTATTTATCAGACGCTATCTTTTGTATTTAACACCTACGTGCAGATAGTGGTATTACACCATAAAAACGAACGACCCGATTGCATATCTTTCACATGGAGGAGTATATATGTAACTGCTGACCACTTGTATATTATTAACTGACCACCTGTCTGCATCCCCGTCATTCTGACAACAAACTCCCCGTCAGCTGCATTAGGAAAACATCATTCGTATATCTACGTGCTTCGATACTGGACTATATCAGAAAATCATCATACAAAAGAAACCGCATGCAATTCTGCTACGTTCTGAAAAGGCCCAAAGCAGAAACCAAAGAGGATTTCTAGTGAAACAAATAGCAGTCTAGGAACATTGTCTATCTGGTCTGTTACGATTGAGCCTTTGCTAATCGTTTCCAATTTGTTGGTAAATATCAACTGGAGTATATTATTAGTATCATCAATATTTGTCCCTTGGGAAAGAAGCTTCTTTATGATCTAATTGTGGACGTGAAAGGTTAAACTTTGTATGATTAAGTTTCTATAATAATGTGTTTGGCGTGAAATCGGATCGATATATAAGACAACATTAGGTTAGTTGAGAAGGCTGTTCAATTAAGGACGATTTACGCTGCCAGTCTCCAGTGGTACCGGAGCTGGCGTTGGATTCGGCAGGTGAAGTCCCGCGTGCGCGGACTGGAATCAATGTACCAGCAGACGACCAGAGGTAGTCAAGGACAGGCGACCAAACGACAAACATGGAGTATAACATGGATTATGGTACTGGAGACAAAAGGAACAAGGTTTTGTACGGATTCGAGAAACCAGTACCCGAAAACACGGCAAGTACCTTCATATGTTAAAAAATAGAAACCTGACAGCCATGCTGATACAAACGTCAAAATCGATTTTCCGTTTAACTGTTTTGCAAGCCATGTTAAAACAGATTATTGATGTACGAAGGACTTGATCAATACGGTGAAAATGCTGGCGTGTTTTATTGTAATGATAACTTAATATCCGTTTAATAAAGCACTTCCTTGCTTCGATCGAGGACTGAATTTTCCTTAATTTACTTCGTATTTTGAAACCAGAAACACGCGTTTCGTGTTCTTTTGTAGTTGGTTTCTTAGCTGTTGGGCTTTCTTCCATTTTTGTTGGGCTTAAAATTTGATGTTTGCATATATTTTTTTCATAACACGGTATTATGTTTTGAGTATAAAAATTCCAGTCGGTTTTACGTAATATCACTGCACGCACATGTCAATTATCATTAGCCACAGATAATGATATGTATGTTCGTCTTGCTGTAGAGAAGTTCGCCTAATAATAAACTCTCCCTAATGACTGGCGACAGCATGTGGTCGGATATGATTGTATACGACAGAACATTGCCTCATCCCGGGTGAGCTTCTCTGTTACATATTATCAGCACCCTTGGAAGCTTTTCTATACAGAATTGTTTGTAACACGCGGTTAACATCATGTTGTTGCGTTTCCATGGAATCCTACAGGTTGAGGTTTTCTCCAAAGATGATACAAATAACATGGGAGAACGTAATCACTTAAACATTATTACATCAGACCATTAAAAAGTCAGACACAAAAATTTCTCTAATTATCTGATTTGTGGAAATATTTTTGGATGGAATATGAATCAAGTTTCAAGGGAGTTTGTTTGCAGCAATATTCCTTTACCTAATTACATTTCATTTCTGATAATTTGGGATTTCTGAGTAAATAGTATTGATAGCAGAGTGTATTTGATTGTGTTTTATCTATAGGAGGTGTTGTAGAACTTCATGTAATTAACATTTGTGATCACTGATTAAATTGTTGTGTATATGTTTTATAATCTATGTTAGATACCAAAGAAAATATAGTAAACAGAAAAGTCTTCTTCTTTTTTTTTTTTTTTTTTTTTGTAGTTAAATATGAAGAAATTAAATTTTTATTTCACAAGTGGGACAGTATTTTCGGATATTTTCACAAGTGCTATGCACTCATGAAAATATAATAAAAATCTTATCAGTGAAATGAAGAAAAAAAAAACAACCCAAAATCAAATACAAAACATTTAATTTTCTGTTTGTTATATTTTTCTTTCTTTTTTTTTTTTTTTAATTTTTAGTCCACATTAGTTAAGTAGTTCAGGTAATTATTTTCACATTGAATGTTTTCATAATTTTTACTGCATGAAAATATTCAAAATAACATGTCTGTTAAAATATCAGTTCTACTCAATGGTTAAATGATCATATAATTATATTTCAACTTTTAAAATGTGATAAATTGCATTGGCTTGCTATTGTGATTCATGGTTATAAAAAATGATGTAGCAGTTGATAAACCTTGTGTGATGGAGCTGAGAACACAAAAACAATACCCTTCAAATAATTTTTACAGCAGTGTAAGATTTAGAATTTTACCTATGTAGATGTACTTCTAAGTTGCTTAAAATATGAAACAAATCCCCCCCCCCCCTTTTAAATCTTGAAGAAGGTATATTTTTACTCAGCCTCTCTGTTCACAACCTTTGCTTCAACTTTGAGCTTTACAAGAAATGAGTATTTAATGTTAAGACTTTCATCTAAGTCTAGTCAATTTAACTGACGTCAAAGATAAAATCGAAATTTGCCACCAACAAATTTGGCTGAGTTGAAAGCATTATGTTTAACAATCACAGCTTGCTCTGAATTAGATATTGATGTTTTGTGATATATATGGTAGACATTATGAATAATGAAAAGAAAGAAAACCTGTAATTAGTGTAAAATTGAGTAATCACTTAGTGAGTAATGCTATAGAGTAGTAATTGCGAGTTAGAAACTACTAATTTAAAAAATGTCCACTTTTTGGTCAATAGTAGTATGTTTTACTTACAGCCTCTGAGAGGTGGGACAGATCAGAACCACATTGATGATGGATACCTCAAGCACCGCCGGGACCACAGAATCCGCAGTGTCACCTCGGAACAGGAACGGGACAGCTGCTTCCTGTGTCTGCGGAATGCATTACATTGTTATAATGTTGTAGTTCTCGTAAGTATGGGTTCCCTTTCAATCTCTACTATAATATGTTTTATCATTAATTCTAAACTTCACTTGAGTAAACTATGATTGATATAATAAAAGTATCTGGTGCATATTTCTTATTAATTTTTGAATTCTAGAAGAGCAAATTTCATTTTTTGACACAAATAAATATTAAACATTTATTGATTTGGTTGGAGCACAATATGCATTTTGTCAGGCATGAAAACCAAACTGCCCCAGACTGTTAAGCTGAAGACCACAGTGTGGTTGGAGGGTTTTCCAAAAAGTATTCTCTTCAAAAACTCTGTCAATAAATGTTTTACTGTACCTTTTATGTAAAGTTGGAGTACCCAGGAATGCAAATTAGATATAGCTTATTGACTAGCATCAGATGACCCTGGCTGGGCTGTGGATTAATGAATGTAAATTCACTGTGACATAAAAAATATCATAGAAGTTCAACCCCCCCCCCCCACCCCCACCCCACCCGAAAAAATGGTCCAACATCTGACTGTCCAGTCAAACATGAATTTGGACTGTTCAGAAAAACATAGGAATTGTTAAACTCTTATATTTACATTTGCTGTGTTTTTCTACTAAGCCAACTGTGAAATTGATTTGAAAGTCATTTTTGTGTATACTCATGCGTAGAAATATACAGGGTGAAACTCGTAAGTGAGGTCACAGTCAGGCTACAGAGATGTAAATAAAATTGTAACAATATAGGGCAGTAAGAAATTCAAATATTGAGTATATTATCCATGCTTTTAAACTTGTAAAATGTAAATATAAGAATGTTTTTAAGTTTAGTGTGAGTTATTGGTGTGTAAATCACACAGACTTGCACACAGGCATATTTTTCATGAAGCACACCAACAACTCACACAAAACTTAAAAACATTCCTTAATTGGTATTGATTACCAATAATATCGGGAATAATTTTTAAAGGTATAACAAAATACTTAATATTTCATAATCTGCCAGTTATTCTCTAGGCTAATTTGATGGCACTTTTCTAACTTTGTATAAATAATTTTTTTTGACTCTTCAGAAAAAGAAAAAAACATAGGAAATGTTAGATTGTTTTGATATAGATTGATTGATATAGGAAACAATTTTTAAAGAACGTATAACAAAATACTTCTCTAGGCTAATTTGATTACACATTTCTTCCTTTGTATAGATGTGCTACATTTCCAAAGTTTCACATTCTTTAAACCTTGGATATAACAAGGAATGAAAAATGAGTCACCAAAACTGGAACAGTTGACGCGTAGAGTGAATACAAATAAAAAAACAAGAGACTTAAAAACCTATTTATATCAAAGAAGGTCTTTATGTAACTATATTTTATTTGAGTTATTTCACATAATTTTCCTACTGAGTGAAATTAAATGTACTCTAGGATTGATTACACATCATTAACTCACATATTTATGTATGTTGTGATATAGTTTTCACTTATCCATCATATTGCGATGAACAAATCTAACTATTGTGTTAGAACATTATTCCAGCTATTTGTAGCTTGCTGATATAATGATGTAGTCACATCACACATTGTAGTAATGTTTGTGGAATAATCATAACAAACAGAGAGAGAGAGACATTTGTCAATGATTATATGTTACATTAATGTGTACCCAACAACTCCTGGACCAGTGAAGAGATTGAATTCTGAAACATTAATTATATCTCATGTACAGACCAAATGTAGTTGACCTTGTTTCACTTAAAAGTCTAATATAATTAATTCTCACACCCTTTAATGAGAAACAGGTGTCTGTTGAAAACAGAGATTCAGGTGACACCCAATACCGTACATACTGGCCTATAAGATGGACTTTGGGTGTTAGATTTTGGTCCAAAACTGTATGTCTGACTTAAAGGCAAGTACTTCAGTATTTTCTCTAGACAGCAAAATCTAGAGACAAGGGATATTAATTACTCTTCAACAAAAACATGGACGGAATAGACAAAACGGTAGCTGTTTTATTTGTGGAGAATAAAAGGTTAAATATCAATGTCATCTCTGATAATTATGATATTTGAACACTGGTAAATATAATATATATTAGAGTATTGATATGAAATTGATTTGTTGAGAATAAAATTGAATATCTGTGTTATTTCCCAAAATATTATTTGAAACACAAATAAAAAACGTGTGAAAATTGCTTTAAAATATCATCAACTGATTCTGTTAAAAATTTGTAGCTACTTATTAGAGAGTCAATGGCAAATCTCTCCAAAATAACCTAAAAAATACAACCGACTTACAAGCAAACCTACTTGGAGGAGAGTTTATACAGTACAAAATGTTTGAATGTTGTAAGTCCCATACATGTATGAAATATATTTTCAATGAACATCATTCAATGAAAAAACTTCATTGCTTGTAATTGACAAAGAGTCCTTGAATTTTGCTCGCCCTGCCTCAAATGTCTGGAAATCTTAACTTACACTAAAGCTTTGTAAAAATTTTATAACCTTATTCTTCTAAAACAACACACCACACTATCTTGGCATATAAAATGTTGTCTGTCTGTGAAAAGGAATGTAGATAAACTCTGTCATGCAGTTAAGAAAATTCAATTGATATATGCTACAGTATGAGTTATTTTATATTTCAGATAATGGGGTGTGGCCTGTTGGGTGTGGGGATCTGGCTATTAGTGACAGACTTCAGCGCTCGTGAAATCACAGTCCTCATTAGCTCTTCTGAGTTTGAGATCGGGACGTATATGATCCTGGCCGGAGGTGGTTTAGTGGCACTCCTTGCCTTCTGTGGCTGCTGTGGTACAATGAGGGAAGACAGATGCATCTTGGGATTTGTAAGTATACTGTATTGATGTACAGTTACAGAGCAACCTTTACAAACAACTAATGAAATTGTTATTTAAAAGCAGCTTCCTTCTCGGTGCAGAAAAGAGAAGCTGTCCGGGATAATAGAAATGTCTTGTTAAGTCTCCCAGCAGGGTATGTTTACATGTGATGAATTAGGGTGGTTAATCGTATATCAAATAGAAAGTGCTCAATGTTTACAATAACCACACTGGTAATGGAGCATTAAAACATGTCAATTGATGTAATGGTGACATAAGTTACCCTGCTGCTATGATGCCAGCCATTAGCCAGACTTTGGCTCTGTGACAGTTATTGAAGAGGGAATGTCAGTGTTTCGCTATAATCCCCACAACGAACCCTATGCAGATCAATAAATTCCATTGAAAATAGTAGTGTGATCAATGTTTGATTCATATGGCATGTTGAATAGGACAGTCTCTGATGAACAGTGCTCATTAGAGTATATTCAGTCATTGATTTTGCAGTCATTAGACTTCAGATCAAGTAGTAGTGTGGTGTAGGTGGTAAAGGTAGCACAGGGACAAGAACTTCAAAGCCATGATTAGTCATATTGATATGGAAGCATCCTCAGGTAGTGCAGATTCAAGTTTGTTCAAATCATGACCCCTGGTTTAGGGTGGGGCCGCAATGGAGGATCAAAGTTTAACATAGGATATATAGTTTAAAAATCTTCTTCTCAAGTGTAGGCTAGCACAGCCATGTTTAGTCATATTGATGTGAAAGCATTCTCAGGTAATGTACATTCAGGTTTGTTCAAAATCAAGAGCCATGGGGGTTGGGTGGGGCCACGATGGGAGATCAAAGTTTTACATTAGAATACATAGGAATAAATATTTAAAAATTGTTTTCTCAAGAACAGCAAAGCCTTGATTGGTATTGATATGAAGCATTCTCAGGTAGTATAGAGTAAAGTTTGTTCAAATCATGACCCCTGGGAATAGGATGAGGCCACAAATGGTGTATTAATGTTTCACATAGAAATAACGCTGTATATAGGAATAAATCTTTAAAAATTGTGTTCTCAAAACAACAAAGCCATGTTTAATGGTTTCGATATGGAAGCATCCTCAGGAAGTGCAGATTTAAATTTGTTAAAATTATGGCCCTGGGGGTAGAGTTGGGCCACAATGCACTATCAGAGTTTAACATATGGATATACATGGAAAAGAAAAATTAAAATCTTTTCTCAAGAACAGCAAAGCCATGTTTAGTCACATTAATATGGAAGTAACTTGAGATAGTGTAGATTCAAGTTTGTTAAAATCATGACCCCAGTAGTTAGGGTGGGGCTACATCTATAAAAAACATATGACACCTGAGGGTTTTGTGGGGTCACATATAGGAATCAAAGTTTTATATTGGAACATATAATAGAAAAGTCTCCGGAAGAAGAACATGAGGGCCATATTGACTTAGGTGAGCATTGTGGCCCATGGGCCTTTTTTTCATTCCAAACAAGGATTCCCAACCATGCATAATTAAGTTACAGCTAGACAAGATTATGTTTACAATGTATTCTGCTGGTTTATATGATTATGATAGTCTTCGGAAAAAATATAAAGAAAAGTTTAACTCCAGATCATAAGTTTTCAGAGAAAGAAATTTTTTCATTCATTGTCTAGAACAAATCCCAAGAAGTCTGGATTCCATCATACTATCTCAAAACATGCTCACTAAATCATATTTTACTCTTTCTTATTTTGTTTCAAATAATGAATACATAGAATTAAAGTGCAAAAATTGAAAAGTTAAGTTTTAACTCATTCTAATCAATCATTCAGGAGTTACGGCTCACACATCATTTCATACTAACAAATATGGCACAAAGAAAAATGTCTCCTCGCATTGAGAAAACTTGGACAAACCATTGCTAAATTGCTCAATTAACAAGCCAAATGAAGCAGATCTGAGAAACCATTACTGAATAAGGTAATTGCTTAGACACTGAGAGTGACTTAGTTGTTGCTTGTTGATTAGAATGAAACCTTTGAAGACTTACAACATTAACACTCAATACACATACCATTACAAAATGGCACAACATTTAGCAATATACATGCACTCTTCTAGATATGATGTTTGAGAGATAAACATAACGAAAAACACATAAAACAAAACTACTGAACAACCCCCCCCCCCCCCCAACCCCATTATCTGTTTAATTATTAATATATATGTAATGTGCAAGTATTTTATAGACTGGTTTCCTAACAAAGTTGAGAAGACATCCACTTTGATTTCAAAAGACTACATGAACAATTTTGTTTTACACAATGCATAAAGAGTAGAAATGTTTCCTGTTTACAGAGCTAAACTTTGATATTCATCATCATCCTTTTATCAGGTATCAGATTGATAGCCCTGAGTCATTTATGTAAGACTTTTCATTCTAAACCAACTTTTTTTAAGCCACCTTTTTTTCAGCAGCAAAAATAAAAAAAAAATCTTGCCATTTCTAACTGGCTTATTTTGACGTTATATAGACAGTATGTGTCTGTTCTAGCTTTGATTGTTCTCTTCATGGACCTTGTCTGATATGAATTAAATCAAGGATCCATTGATGTTATTTGATGGGGTAACTTTATAAGCCAATTGTCCATGCTAACAGCATCTGAGTGCTTTACTAGGCCTCGTGTAATGAGGCCTGCTTAATGAAGCCTCCTTATGAGATGTTAGATAATGCTGCTGTAATAACCACACAGCCGTCCAATGGATAAGCTCATCTCTTCTAGGAGTATTTAAACTGTTGCTTTCTTGTGGCTCTAGGAATGGGATTAATTTCTCTGACTCCTTGATTCAGTTATCTATCTCCTAACAATTTTACTATCATTAACTGCACTTCCATTGCTAGTGCAGGTATTTTGAGTACCATACACACAGTAAAATTAATAATCTCTTCAATGTGCTTTATAGTACTCGTGCTTATCAAAGTATTCTGCAATCTGTGGCTGCTTTCAGACTAGGAATAATCATTGATTAAGCTGGTCCCCCAGCTGTCATTCTCTAACACTCATCCATCATGCTAACAATAAACTTGACAAATTTAAAATCAACATATTTACGTATTTTCAATTTGTAAAGATTTTTGTTTTTAACTATCTAGTGCCTTCTTACTGTGACAAGGAAAAAAATTACAATGTAGAATGTTTTATAAATTTTCTTTTGATTTTCAGTATGGAATTGTACTGGCTTTAGTGTTTTTGGCCTTGGTTGCTGCTGGTGCTATGGCAGCTTTATTCAGAGACCAGGTAAGTAGTAAAATTAAACCATTTAGTTGAACACGGCTGCCACTCTGACAAGATACAGTAATTCTACTGATACACCCCTTAAGCTGTTAACACCAACATGATGTACAGTATGGATTCTCTTAGTGTCAGACATATCTTACACTGATAAAATAGATGTATAATTCAATTACACAGAATATTCCCAATTCATAACCTGACTTAAATTTCTTGAGATGTTGAGGCATTAAGAATGTATAAAAAGAGAAGTGAAAGCTGTTGGAAGCACTGTAGAGTAAATTTGCTAGATAAACCAGAAGGAAATAAGGGGTGTAAATAATTTACTTCAATACTGGCTGTGTTTATGTAAGTCTGAGTAACAAGCAATCAGCCACCTCACCTGGAGAGAGAGAAATTCTATACAGTCAAGTACTGCACTAAAGCCCACACCTGCAGCAAATGTTGATAAGGACTATGATTTTCTCTAAACAACTTCCTTAAAATTTATATTAACTTTTGAAGTCCAGCAGTTGTTGTATTGCTACCAGGTTTGGTAATAAGTTAAATGCATCTTAACCTTGAAGGGTTCAATATCAGAGCAACAACGTTTGACATCACATTAGTAGCATAGCCTTCCAAAAAGGGTTTGCACTAATGTGCATACATGCAAGTGTGATATGATGAAACAAAGTCCATTGGTAAGCAGAAAAGTATCATGTGTATACATGTATCATAAAATGGAGACATTTACAACTTGCAAAAATATATATACAGTTGAACTTTGGTATCTCAAACACTGATATCTCGAATACCATGGATATGTCGAAGTGATTTGAAAGTCCCAAACGTTTATTCCTTATATATTTTACCCTGGATATCTTGAATCCTTGGATATCTCGAAGTATTTTCTTGGTCCCATTGAGTTCGAGGTAACAAGGTATGACTGTATATAATATTTTGAAGATAAAAGTTCTATATAATTTAGAATTTGTACCGGGTTATTGTCTCTTGTTGGTTAATATTATATAGCAATTTCAAATAAGAACAAACCTATAATGACATTAATTTGGTAAAGTGCAAGAAGATCAATCAAAATTAAAAGCTGAAAGTGGCTAAGATATGGTTAATTGATTAATATATACAGTGCAAATTTAAAATGCTTTAAAGACACACAGCATGTAAATTATCAAACAGTTTCTTATGGCTATGTAGTGTTAATTGGGGAAAAAAAGGGGGGGGGGGTGTTAAACTAAATAGGTTTAATCAGGTAAAATAAAGAAGCTCTTAAATAAAAATAATGTTTTCCTCTCAAACTTTTTTTTATTGTTATGTGTTCATCAGTGTTTACTTCATACTGTTGTTTTTAATTAGTGCAGAAAGGTCAGGAAACTGTGTGAAACCTAAATATTTCTCATTTATTTACTTTTTATAAGAATGATTATTTATTTAAAATAATAACAAAACGTGTACACAAAGTCCCTTTTTTATCTAAATTCTCTGTAAGATGTAAAATTCATGCAAGAGTCAATTTTTAATTGGGACAGAGTCCTTTTACCAGACCTGGGTGCAGTGGATATGAAGCCTTGTGATTCTAAATTTGTTATAATCATCTGGATAAAGAGAAGGAGTCAGAGGGATCTGAACCCCCTCTAGAATTTTCAGAGATATTATTAATTTTATATAGTAAAGTAACCAAATAATGACCTTGGAGAACCCCCATCTCCCATAGAAAATGTGTACCCCAGATAAAATGGTAGGAGGGAGAATCTTATATATGAAGAAAAGTAACTTGTAGATGCAGTGTTTACAATGATGATACAGCTCTGATTTGTAGATGCAGTGTTTACAATGATGATACAGCTCTGATTTGTAGATGCAGTGTTTACAATGATGATACAGCTCTGATTTGCTCTTGATCCATATTTTTGCTGTTTTGAATTCTATCAAAGTTGTTTAAATCAGTTTCCATAGTAGTACTATATATTAATTTCATGATTATGCCCTGTGTTGAAAGCAGTGAAAAATGATGTGACAGGCTACTACTTGGATATGAACAGTATATAAATATTGCATGTTTTGCTAACTTTATCTGATAAACATTCACTTATTCTTCCATTAAATATCTTTAGATAACAGAGGATATAAAAGTGAAGTTAGAGCGGACTCTACAAAACCAGTATGGAATGGATGTCCGAGGAAACACGACCAACAGGCTTGTCACAGATGCTTGGGACTCAATGCAGAGAAAAGTTAGTGTAACCAGCACAAATACTTCCAAAAAATACCATATCTTCAATGGAAATTTGAAAACTGACATATGTTTCTTTAGCATCGTTATTGCTGTTTTAAATCAAATATTTGTGTTTGAAAAAATCACAAATGCAGAAAGGGAAATAACTCAAAGACCACATCCAACATGTCTGGTTGTGCTCATGCACAGTAATCCTTCACCTTAAACTGAATTAGTTTTGGAAAAACTGAACAAGATTAAAAAAAATTATAACTTATTCGGAAATCTAAAAAAATTTATAGAGTTGTAAAATGATCTCTTAAATATAAAGCATGTTAAGTATTTACATTTTATTTTTTCCATTAGCTTCAGTGCTGTGGAGCACATGGAAAAGTAGATTCTCATAATTCATGGGCATTCTATAAATTATCAAGCGAGTGGTACATACGTCGGGGCGATAACAGTAGTAAGTCTGTGTTGTTTGTACACCTAACAGGTCAGGTGGTTCCCTCCCCCGTGGCACCCTCTCACGGCGGGGACAGGAGAACCATCTCTGTTTACCATCACCATTTTATTTTGCTTTACTAATTATTTTTTGGCTTATGTTGAATTATCAGTTAGAGTGTTGTGGTCCGTATAGTTTGGATGAGGATGGAGAGGACCTTAAAGGAGCCAAATCGTGGGACTTTTATAAAAGCACCAAGTGGTACATTACCAAATTACAAAGTAAGTTCACAGTGCAATCAGCTCTCCTACTCCACCTAGCTTACACCAGATTCATTCAGAAGACAGCTTCAATTTCATAAAGGAATGGATGTTGATTCTGATTAATCTAGTGTTAGCAAGATATAGAAAATACATTGTAAAGCTTCTCAAATGCCAGAACTTGGTTAAATCTCAAAGTTTAAATTAGATTTCTTTCCTTTTTCAAAAAAAATAAGAATACCTTTGATGCAATCAAAAATTGAAAGAAAGCAGAGCATAGAAGTGAGCAAGTTTAAAACTTGCACTAATCAGAAGCTGGTGAATTTGTTCATGTCAACTTTCTATATGCTAGACCTGTTAAAGTGTTCTATATAATGAGGGGGGTTATTTCATAAGTATTAGTCAGCAGCAGGAATGGACCTCCTGTTTGTACATTTTGTTGGTTTTGAAATGTTGAAGTTCACTATGTTATGGTTGCCTAGTCGTGGGAACTAAGTTTGAAATCCATTCAAAATATATATGTAAATTCACCAAACAAGTGAAGCATATTTATCTTTTTCATAATTGATCACAGTGAATTTTCATATTCATATATTTCAAGATGAATAAAATGACATGGATCCTTGTTGAGAGGTGTATATCCTTTAAGATCATACAGTAATTAATTAAGGCATTCACAGAGGTTTCAACTCTGCATACCTTAATTGGGACTTTTTGTTTTGAAAGTTTTTTTACAAGTGTTCAGTGCCTTGTTAAGTTGTATTAGAATGATATAATATTTAGGTAAACAATTCATATTGCCACCAAGGTCAGCTACAACAATAACTGTATTTGAGAAGCTTGTACAATTATAGGGATTTACCACTAGCTAGACAACTTGATCTCTGGATGGGCAAAGGGAGACAAATGCATGAGAACTGTAGAATAAGGTGATGGAGATTCAGAGTTACAGTTCCTTTATTTGTTAAGCATGATAGGCAGGGTTATTCAGCTAGAAAGATTATTTATGTTTAATTGATCCCTGGTTCTGGTTACCTGAGGATAAAGAGGTCAAGGTAAAGATTCTACCACCCAGACAGGTGAGAGGCTGGGCATGGTTTATGGAGATGGTATGCATGCACGGCTGTGACAAAGCCTGCTTCACTAATGTTAGCAATCTGTTCTGTATCAGTTATGGTGGTCACTCTATGTTATTTGCTTGATTTTGTTTTTAAATTTATGTTGTTTTGAGGATGTCATTGTTATATTTTTGTGCATTTTGATTCTTCACTCATTGCATGTAATCTGAATATGGTATTATTTTCCTTCTTTTTGTTTTTAATTATTAACTTGTTCTTCAGTGTAATCAACTTTTACAACATCCAAAGGAGTTGTTCCTTTTAACATTTTTAATGTTCTTTTTTACTACAGATTTTTAATACATAATTTCATAGCAATTAAATTAATTCTAGACAGATAGAATTTCATTTTCTATATTCTAAAATATATGTTTATGTTAGACATCATTTTGATTCTTAACTACTATCGTCTATATGCTGCTACCATTGTCTTCTATAGCAAGTATTGTCTTCTTGTGTGATTTTATGCTTTAATGGTTAAATGTATATTAAACAAATATACTTACTGGTATTTGATAAATAATCAGTCATATCCTTAAGTGTCTTCTTTAAACGCCACAAAACCGCAGTCTGAAAGAAAAAAAAATAATAAAGCTTTCGATCTTTGTGTTTAAAATTGATGAGTGAATCATGTTTTTTTTCTAGTTTTAGTTTACCTTTTGTATTTATTATAACAGAATACCCCATGGTCCCTGAAAGTTGTTGTATAGAGGGGGCAGACAAACAAAAGTGTCAAGGTCAAACTATCATCATTAAAGGACCTCCAAACTATGGACCGGCCAGTTTGCCAAAAAAATTTGAATCCCACCTATACACTGAGGTAATAACTCATCTTGGAGAAAAAGACTCTCATAATGAATATCCTTGATGTCAACAGATATAAATTTAATTTTGAATTTTTTGTAACTGACTAGATTGTTGTTTTAATGATAATGTATACAATATATTAAGCATTGTGTTTTACAGGGTTGTTTTGAGAAGGTAATAAAATACTTAGGAGAAAGTACTCTGATCCTTGGAGGGGTGGCCTTGGGAGTTCCCCTCTTTCTGGTAAGTAATAATATACTGTATATTAAACAGCAAAAAAATAAAAAGGAAATCTATAATGTAACAATGGCACTGCAGACTGCAACATCCCCTCAAAAATTTGACTTCATTCAAAAAACCACATTTTCCTATTATAATGAATTGATGTGTTCACACATTATCTCTATACCAATCAGTGTCATTGAACTATGACCACTTGATTAAGGAACAAGTACACTATTTCCTCCTTTAAGGTGGTTGTTCACTTAAAATTGTGTCGAGAACATTGGTTTCTCATTCTAATGCTTCTTCCTTCTATTGCTATGCATCTCAATAGCAAGCTGTGGAGTGAACTTTTTAACTTAGATTTTACTTTTGACCTTGAATCAAAAATCAAGAAAGGTCAAGTTGTTGAAATTGTGTCCACTACCTAGATACCATCTTTCACTGTCTTTGACCTTTTGATCCTACAGTAGGGCCCTCATAATTTTTGTAGCAATTAGAAGACCCAAAGACATGTGGTATTCTTTATAATATGTCAGCATTATGGACACACTTACCCATACATGCTAGTTCATAGGCTTGTTACAGTTTTGCTTGACATTAACAACTCTGTTGCAATGGGATTAGTTAAACTTGTGGAAGTACATTATCATCACTGTCATTTTACCTAAGTATCTTAGTTAAAAATAGGTCCATTTATCTTAAACATGGACATTGTTTGAACTTGGTATGAAAAAGCAATGTTTAATTGTAATTTGTATTAGCTTGGCATTATAAGTTTGTACATTATTATAGGTAGTGGGATCCATCATTGCCTTCTGCCTGTGTGCCAGAGTGAAGAAGTCTGACACCAGTTTTGACGAAGAGGAGGACCTCTAATAAAAAAGCAACGCACTCCCGAAATTAACAATAAAACTGAGGATCTCATATGATATAGACCACAAACTGACAGTGTTCCCATGTCAGTTAGAATACACTGCCGACTGGGCAGCAAGTTACCATGGTAACAGGACCAGTGTACATTCCGGCCCGGATCAGGTCATACATTCCATGGGATATTCCAGTCCATTAATCACCCACTTCATATAGACAGTGGAATCATAGTTATGTGTTTGCTAAGGGACCAAGGAAGAAAAAGGATGTTAAGTTTGTGTGCAGCAAAGAATACAAGTCCATTCACTGTTTAAAAGGAGGTTATGATATATATATTTATTCTGAGTTGTTTTTTTATGTATACATGTTGGAAGTTTTTGAGAACAGCTGTTGTGTAAGAGAGGCCATATTTGTTTTGTGATGCTTCATCTCACCAGGGATTAAAATCCCCAATTCTTGTCATTAACAGACTCCCCAGGATCATTGGTCAAATCAAAACAAAGTGATACCAAAGAAATGAATCGGTATCCAGAATTCTGTTGGAGCTTAGGATACTTAGAAGCTTACTGATCCTCATTACCTTTTAGCACGCAAAACATTGTATAGATTACGCCATTGCCATTTTTATCACAACAAATTTTGATCTTAAGGAAACCTGAGCATTTACCATGAGTGTGGTTTGTATTAGGTTTAACCATGTACCTCCATACATTTTTATAAAAATAATTGATCATGGACCAATCTCTTTGTGATTTTCTTCTTTGATAATGGAGATAATTTTGTTAATACTATTTTTTGTGTTGTTGACTGACATGAAGATTTGTTTACTGTGTAGTTGATATTCCATAAACAGAATTTAACTAGATGTACAGGTGCAATCTGTTTTCATTGACTTTTTTTTCCATTTTGCCTTGTTTATGTACAAATAAGAGTTTATTTCTAATAGCATTTGTGATTGTTTTAATAATGAATAATTACAATAAATGACCAGGATGAAAATTAAGAGCATTTATCTCAGTCTTCAAGTGAATGAATACCACTTTCTGGAGATTTGTCTTTTATCCCCCTATTGTCAAAGCAATATGAGCTGCAAATTTGATGTCGGATATCTTTGTTGCAAAATTGTAATTTACTATTGTAATGACATAAAAAAAATGTTTATAAATTTCTGTCGTTCAAATTTGTGATGAGAGAACTATTTATAAGCTTTGATTGAAGCAAAATTATATTTATTGTCGTCCTGTACAATATTGATTTCTTATATAATACTATAAATTCCATTGTACTGAAATCTTTCTTTTGAAACAAACAAATACTTTATTTTCATATAATTGATCATAAAGGTTTAAGTTACATACAGATTTTTCATAAAAGCTCACTTTAACTGAAAAATAAAATGTTCAAAAATGCAGCTCATATAGCTTTAATTATTGAGAAAAAATATTTCAGTTAATGAAGGATAACTCGTGATCTTATATAAAAGAGGTTATGGAACTTAGTCTTACCCTTGCAGTAATGCTGCTGAATGTAATACTGTAGAAATTCATCATGACCGGTGATCATGGTGATGTCTTTGTATCATTTCTGTTCTGAAATAAAAGTTACATTTCATTCAGTTCGTATCAATATACGCGAACTGCGTTATGCATAGAACTCATTGCCTGGGTCATGTACAGAATAACACCGTCACCAATACCAGAGGTAATGTTTCTCCCATGCGTTAAAAATTTCTTGGAAATTATTATTGTAGCTATAAATGCAAATTCATTTATATTGTAAAATACAGGGTATTAATATACATAGATGCTTGTGTCGCGACTTCTGTTATTTTTTTCCCCTTACTAAATGAATTTATCGTGTTTATAGACCCGCGTGTGAATTTAGCAATACGCTAAAATTTAAGTGTTGTCTGGAGCCATTGTTAGCATATTGGTAATGTTACGCTCATCTTGTAGTCCTGTGCATAACAAAGGACATAGTTGTTAAGTTCGGTTCGGTTTGGTACGATTATTACATATTGCAAAAACAGATGTAGTTCAGTACCCATACCGTATAGTAAAGATTCCGCATAGCAAACAAATAATGTTGACTAACTATAGTAAACATTCCGCACAGCAAACAAATAATGTTGACTAACTATAGTAAACATTCCGCACAGTAAACAAATAATGTTGACTAACTATAGTAAACATTCCGCACAGCAAACAAATAATGTTGACTAACTATAGCAAACATTCCGCACAGTAAACAAATAATGTTGACTAACTATAGTAAACATTCCGCACAGCAAACAAATGATATTGACTTACTATAGTAAACATTCCGCACAGTAAACAAATAATGTTGACTAACTATAGTAAACATTCCGCACAGTAAACAAATAATGTTGACGAACTTTATTAAACATTCCCCCAAGCTTCCTCCTGGATACTGTACTGTGTAGCAAAATTTCCCCGGACGGGAAAAGTTAACTATATAGCAATCGTTCCCCCATCCCCGGATATTTTCATTTGCTATATTAAACATTCCCACTTAATCTGGATAATTATTCATAATTTGGAAGTAAGTCAATCAAAATTAAGCCGAGGAGTGTACAAGATTCAGAATCAACAAAGAGCCATAACCCTTGACAAAAGGCCTAGAAAATCTATAAAGACAAAAAGAAGCCGTGAATTTGCAAAATTCAATACAATAGTTTAGAATTGTCTTTTCCTGAGATACTTTCAAAGTGTAACGTGTTTATTAAAACGTTTTGAAATCTTGTTTATTTAATTCTTTGTATCGGTTTTTGATTTCAACAGACGGTGCGTGTTGCCATGTTTACTAAAAACAGAAATTTCTGAGAAATTCTTTCAAAACGCTATTCCTCCTCCAGTATTGGTCCAATTTCAGTAAGACTTGGTACACAAGTAATATAAAGATACATAATTAATTCTGTCTATCGGTTTTGATTTCGACAAACGGCGTTACCATGGTAACTAGAAATAGAAATTTCTGTGAAAATTCAAGATGCTACTTCTCCTACAGTTTTGGTCCAATTTCAATATGTACAGCATACTTAGTTACATACTTCTTTACATTGGTTTTGACTTCGACAAATGGTGTTGCCATGGGTAATAAGAATGGAAAGATTCGTAAAGTTATTTCAAAGCACTACTCCTACAGTTTCAGTTGTCAAGGTACACAAATACACAATACTAAGATGAAGTACACACCAGTAGAGCTTCAGTCTCGTCAGAGACCTCTGTTTGTCCTCGCTTTGGATGCTATTTCTATCATTATTTGCTTTCCCCCGCCAAACACATGGTATCCGTTAATTAACCATATATTTTACTCGTATTTTTGTCACTTTATACTCATGGCCATAGGAACCGGGTGGGGGGGGGGGTGCCCCCCAATAATTTTGCCAATATATAGAATACTAAAGAAAACTTAGCTACTATATGCTTGTGCCCCCTCAATAAAAACGGCTGATGACTTTTTTTTTTGCTTGTCAAGGAATTTTGGTAGTTGATAGTGCCCCCCCCCCAACTGAAAATGTTTGGCTGTGCCCCCCCCCCAAACTGAAATTGCTTCCTACGGGCCTGATACTTTTCAACCATGTGCATCGGAAGCAAATTAAAAGTTTGGGGGGGGGGCTAAACAAACAAAAAAAAAGTTTAGTGGGCTAAGCCCCAATTTTCAATGCCTATATTATGTCTATCTTTGCAACAACAAAAAAAAGTGGGGGGAGGGCTAAGCCCCCCCCCCCCGGTTCCGACGCCTATGTCAACAGTTCCAAACAGCCCTATATGGCCTTGGGGTCATGGTAAAATTAACACATCCGAGTTTATATCTAATTCTTTTTTTATACTTTTTATACAAATTGCTTTCTTATATACATGTAGATGATATGCGACCCCCCCCCCCCCCGGTCCCCATTTATTCAATTCAATTTATTAATTGATTCACCAAACATGTTGGCATACAACCATGTTACAAACAAAATGAAAAAAATACAGTGTGTTTTCAGATTACTAAAACATATACTAAAGTACATACATACATGCAAGTGTACAAATCAGTGAAGTCAACTACGTTTACAACTTGAAGTTATACATAATCATTATGCAAATAGTATAAACAGTATAATATGGAAAGAGATGAACTAATTAATGCATTAAATATATATTATTGTGCTCTATTTTTAGAACGCAATTCAAAACATTCATGTAAAAATTCGCATAGCCTTCTAGAATGAACTGCATTGCCAGGATTACAAAGTACTTTACAATGATTTTCCTTCAACATGTTATCATTTAAATTATAGATGTTCAAAGGGTAATACTTTTTTCGCAAATCTTTATATATAGGACAGTCATATATGAAATGTATTTCATTTTTCTACAACATTTTTACAATCGTGACAAAAACGAGATTCTTTTGGGATACAAGGCTTTGAATATCTGCCTATTTCAATTTCTAAATAATTAGATTTTCTCGGCATGTGTGTTTTTGTGATAGACTTATTTTACCAACCCAAAGTATGATCGTGGGTCGTCGGAAATCGGAGTTGTTTTTTTTTTTTTTTGGACACTGCATGGATCTGTAGCTCTCTGCTTTATCTGTCCGACTTCTGCAGCGAAGCTTTACTATGCAGAAGAAATGCTATACGGTAAACCTTCCCCATGGGAATAAATCTTTCGGGGGTACTTTACTATGGGGGAAGTTTAACTACATGACACAGCAGATCACATTGTATCTACGACTGTTGTGGGTCTTTGACAATAACAAGAGGTGTTTTATGATCCTAAATCGATTATATCTTGTTAATATGAATCATAAAACACCGCTTGTAACGTCACCAGTAAATAGAGCTAAACATTTAGGTAACAGAGAGTTTGTAACATGGTAGGTCACATGATATTGATAAAAGTACCACTTTAGTTTACAAAGAATTTGCCTCAAACGCAATAGACGGAAATATACGAGCGTTCCTTTAATCAAAGGCTAAAAAGTACATGCACAAGACATCGGTCGGTAACTTTTTACATACATGTCGGTATTTTTATACAGATTTACGTCGTAGTCAAAGTTATAGTAAAAGACCTCAAAAGTGGTAGGAAAAGGTAAACAAACAAGCAGTTTGGCGACGTCGCCACATTTAGATAAAGACACTATACTTATACAGAAATAAAATAGAGCATTAAGGAAGCTCTAAACACTGCTTACTAAAGAGTTCAAATTCCATTGTAGTTTTATGCAGTTAGAGTGATCTGTCCTTTGATGTAAAATGAAATGAATGGAACTCAGTCTCTACAGAAAATTAGATAATTTAAAATAGATTAAAGTATTCTTGACATTATATTAGACCAGGATAAAGTAATTGAAAACATTATTTTCAAGTATTTTTACAATATTTAAGAACTAGTAAACAACAGTTATTTCAGTTCATTAATACTTCATTGTCTTAAAAAAAAATTCCTGGAGAAATATGGCAGGTACCCTATATTGAAAATGAACTAGAAAAATTCAATACCAACATCCTTATACGATAAAAAATTTTCAAAGTCCCCCCCCCCCCCCAACAAAACAACATTTTTTGTTATTGTTTAGAGCTTCCTTAATAAAGGTTTCAATCGCAAAGAAGTGTGGCTGATCAATTACATGTTTGGCCTTTCGAGGTCTGTTTATGAAATCTTGGTTTACCAATATCCGCGTGAATACATATCTCAAACTACACATATACGAGTGGAACTTAACAATATGCGAAATAATGGACCTGTATCACATAATTTTCTGTTACAATGAGAAATCTGTGCGTTTCAACCTATTCTCGTTTTTATCTTTTATATTATTTTCAAAGAGGATCAAACATGACCTGAAAAATCCTTCACGAAAAGGTTTCCACTTGGAAATATCCTTTAAGCCGTACCGCATTCTAACGTACATTTGTCCACTATATCGGTATGGAAGATAGTTCATTTGAGTCATAGGGAATATTGACTAACACTGTAGCTAATA